CTCCCGCATGTATAAACAACTGAGGTTCATAATTATAGCCTTTTTTTATTATTATCATTTAAGTACCATATGTATATATTTAAAAAATTGTATTGTATGATTTATATTCACCTCATTGTGATTGTTGATCATTTATCATTTTGTAATTATCTTAATGATATGTCATAATTTAATCAAATTGGGCTCCTTAGATTCGTCTTGTCAATATGCTCGATTTGATTATATGCATGCAATAGATGAATACTATTTGATCCATAAATCAATGTTTAAAAGTTTTCATATATATTTCACATGTTTCATGAAAGCTAATTTTGGACTCGAATCGGATCATTTTTAGTATCGATGGATATCATCACGTGAAGACAACCAAATCTAAAATCAAAGTCGGATTGGTCCTAAAATTAATTTTGAAACTTTTTAACTTAAATATAATTTAGAGATTCCAATTAATCAAGCAAAAATTTTAATTTAGAGATATATCAAGATTTATTTTAAAGTGAAATATTAGTTATATATTCTTCATGCATTACACTAATAAGTGAAACATAAAATTTATTTGTTTCTTCACATATTCACATTAAACGGAGGCCTTCCGATAATCATATTAGGAAAGTTGATGTATTAGATTCGACTTATGTTAACAAAAATAGAAGTAGACATAAAAAGACTTGATTAGAAAATATTAGAAATGATCTTTCTTTATAAGATTTAAATGAGGATTTGACTTTTAACATGACACAATGACGAAAAAAGGATTCATGCAGCAGACCCCACGTAGTGGGACAAAGGCTTGATGTTGATGTTGTTTGACCGATTCAACCATGAACCGGTCGGATGGCCGATTCGATTTGTTGAAATGACTAGTTGGACATAAAACCTGTGAAAAACCAAAAACCCCGGTTGAACCGGCAAACCGCCAAACAAGACGGGTTTAGAAGAATCGGACGGTTCTTAATATCACAAATCTCAGCCACCCATCTATGATCGCACGGCGTACGGAATTATATTACCTCAATCGTCTGCCTAAGGTATGTCATACCTCTTGTATTTTGTCTCCAATAACGTGACTCCTCCTTCCACAAGTAGAAGGCCTCCTTTGACCTCATTGTCGCTAATCAACAACTAACCCTGCATCTACCCCCAGCTATTGTCATCCTTATGCCGATTGGTCCTCCTTCGTCTAACCTTAGCCACTCGACTCCACCTAATATCGTCGTGAACCACCCAAGCATGACTCTTGCCCGCTTCCACCTTCTTCGACTCACCTCTGGCCGCCGACCTGTCGAGCTCCAACTAGCCAGATCTCGACGCCGACCCTAGCTTCGTCCGACTTGACCTCGTCCATCCTAACTTCACTTGATACATGCATGCCCCAATCTAGCGAGTCGAGCCACCTCCTATTGTCGTTCCAATCACTTCAACTAAGAGAAAGGATAGCTTGATGCTCTTCTCCCATCCAAATAGAGAGAGAGAGGGGTATTGCTTTTGTTTTCTTCAAGTCAGTTAAAAAGAAATTAACAAAGGCTTATATAAAAAAAAATGAAAATGCATGCGTTTATTTTAGTTTCATTCATTTTTGCATCTATCTTTATTTGTTGGCTGCTATGCAAAGAATTTAATCAAATTTGTTGAAATTAGTTCTAATATTTGTGCGGGTGTATTTACTATTTCATGTCGTGAAGAGGTTGTGCAAAAATATAAGATATGCATTCCTCCCCCAATGTAATGTGGTATTAACGAATTAGTTGATTTGGCCATCCTATGCGGAAACCAGGAGCCGGGTGATGGCCACCTCATGCGGGAACCTGAAATGAAAAGGTGTGCCGTTTCGGCTTTGTATCTTTAAATTGTGTTTAAGTTTAATTATTGAAATTGATATTAAGATTTGTTGAATTTGAGTTTTGAATGTGCCGAAATTATATTTTGTTAAAATCAAGCATAAATTAATTTTAATATACCAAGTGAACCTCTTTCATTCAGTCCTATTTTCACAACTTCGTCCATTACATCCATTTAAGAAAAATACAATGTCTCTTAAAACTTATGCTAAAATCATGTGGCACTTATCTAAAAAATAAATTCAATAAATAAGAATTTCTACATACTAATGTACTAAGAATTAAAATTTTAACCACATACTCATTTTAATTGAATTTGCTGGGATCTTTTATAAAAAGAACCCTAGAAAAATTAGCGTATGCTGCTTTATGTGACAAGCACACGGTATTCTTTAGTAAAAGGCGAAAGAATAGTTCGCTCTGTGCTCATCACGCAGCTGCGTGCTTTGTACAGCGCCAAGGCTTTCTTATTTATATGCCAACGACGCCCACGTCATTGCTTCTAACCAATGTGGGACTAAACTTTCTGATACTATAAAATAATAAAATCTTTCTTATACAAACAATCTGAATTAAATAATTTAAGCCTGGCCGTGGCGTAGTCAGCACCTTTATGGGGGTGAAACAATAAACTTGGGGGAAATAGAATTAGATGAATATTAGATGAGAATATTCTTACATAAAATTTATATAATTTTAAAAAAATTTAGATTTATTTGAAATTAATAAAAAATCGAACAATTTAAGATTTAGTTTATGGTTACGGGGCTATTTTGCCGAGTTCCTTAGAGAGAGTTGAATCAGCAAGAAAGTTATCACAAACGAAGTATTTGATATGCCTTTCTTATTGATTTTTAAAGCAGCTTTAAAGCTTCTTTAAGCAACAATAAAAAGGGATTTTTACATACATAACACTTGAAAGTTTCTTATTTACTCATCTAACACATAAAGTTGTCTATTTACACACCTACCACTTAAAACCTATTTTAAGTTTTAAAATACCACTCCGTTTTCCTTCGTCAAAATCTCACCCAATTACCGCACGATGATCTTGCCTTCAAAACAAAACCACTACAGAAACGGTACCTCGCCACCGTCGACGCCGCCGAAAACACCATCTTCAAAACCAAACACTACTGGTTGGGCGGTTTCACCCAGCTCCGGGATGCTGCTGGATATACTGTACTTACCATGAAGCCAAAGGTAAGAACTTTATTGTTAATTAGCCCTCAATCCTCTTTTAATGGACTCACATACAGTCTCTTCTTCTTCTTCGTCTTCTTCTTCTTCAGTTTATAACCTGGCACGGCAGGTGGCAGGCGTTTAGGGGGGACAGCATGGAGGCGAAAGATCTTGTGTTCAGCATCATGAGGAGTTGTTTTCTGCAGTTTTATGATGAGTGGTTCGTCTATCTTAGGGGAAACACAGAAGAGAAGACTTACGATTTTAGGGTAACATGAAGTTACAGAAAGAAGAATTACACCATTTACAAAGGAGACTCGTCCTCTGTAATCGCTCAGGTAATTCAAACTCAGTAATCTGCTCTTTCTGGTTGCCAAACTTCCCAAAATTTTCAGAACAGAGGAACTCTTTAATTAACAAAGTTTACTAATGATAGAAATTTCTCTGAAACCAATGCCATCTGCCAACAATTATAGTTGAGTTTTGATTAATAAAATTCCACACTCAGGTTCTTGGATTATCTTGTATTTAAAAGAATTTGACATGTTTTCTCTCAGAAGCGATTCAGCTCCGTCTGGATGATCGCCCAAATTAGAGAAGGTGGGCGGCGTTTTGACGGGAAAGGATATGAGTTTCGGCGTTCGACGGAATGGAGAAGAGGAGCTGCTCAAACAAGATGCAAAGAAATGAGTTTCGCACGAAAACAACCAACATCGTGCGGTATGGGATGGGGTTTTGACGGAGGAAAAGGGAATGGTATTTTAGGAAGTAAAATAGGTTTTAAGTGATAGGTGTGTAAATAGATAACTTTAGGTGTTAGATGAGTAAATAGGGAATTTTTAAGTGTTATGTATGTAAAAATCCCCAATAAAAAAGCCGTCTCAAACATTTGAATTATATAATTTACAAAGCAATGAGATAAAAAACCAATCAAAATTATTTGAGATCATCTTTATTTTTATTTTATTTTATTTAACTTATATTTATATAAAATAAAATATATTTAATATTTTTTATATTGTTTAAACCTATGATGGAAACAATAATTGACGTTTGCGATTATTTTCATTTGAAAAAATAAAAGATATCTAAAAAATCCTTAAATTTATTTTGAGAAATTTTGATGCATAATGTGATTTATTTAAAAAAAAAAAAAACAACAAAAATGGTCATAAAATACAAATCAAATATATATTTTTTTTAAAAAAAAAACAACTACAAAATTATCCCAGTTAGTCATTAAAAATCGATTCAGATTCAACTAAGGATTTGAGATTGCTTTCTTACTACTTAAAATAAATTTCTACAAAAAAAATTAATATTTTTTTATTTAAAAACTACTTTAAGAATCAGTAAAAGCCATCCCAAATATTTAGTTTAGGATAATATTTTTACTATTTTTAAAGCGATTTCCTAATAAATTTTTTTAATGTATATAACAAAAAATTTAATCCAAATAAAATTTAAACCCCCTTGTACATGGCGAATTATTACATCCGATCATCTGACAGAGAGATACATTCGAATTTCTCTCTGTCTACAGTAAAAGCACAGTTATTATAGCAGCTGCGCTTTGACTGTGCTTTTACTGTAGACAGAGAGAAATTCAAATGTATCTCTCTGTCAGGTGACTGGACCTAATAATTTGCCTTTGTACACAGGCTGTCATGATATTCACGTATCATTATCTATTACCGCTTCATGCTAATAACACAGGAAAAAAAAAAGAGTACACTACATAAAATTGAACTAAATTATTCATAGCAAATATTCCTGAAAGAATTTAAAAAAAAAAAAGAGAGAAGCATTGCATTAACATGGACGTCTTTATAAAGCTCAAAATTTTACTAAAAAACTTTTGCAGGCAAAATAAGCGAAAATATGATCACTGCCAAAATATGTTAAATTGTTTAGTAAGTACAATCTTTCAAGAACGAATAAACAAAATGATAGAATGATAACAAACTAAAAGAAAATTTTTGTCATAAAACTTAAAAAAGAAAAAAAAAAAAAAAGCTTGTCAAATTATTTAAATATTGATTAATGCAAATTAAGACTTGGTTTGGGACGGCTTTCTTACTGCTTCATGAAACAGCTTTTTAATATAAAAATTAAAAATTTTATACTAAAAAACTGCTTTAAGATTCAGGAAGAAAGTTGTCCCAAACGAAGCCTAAGTCTTGAGTTTCCCATAGAACTTAGCTTTTTCCTCTGTGGTCTGGAAACGGCCATGGCCAAACTTGGAGGAGGTATCAATGAACTTGAGCTTGATCTCCTCCATAGCCACTCGTGAAGTCTGCTTCAGCAGAGACTGCCTTAGAGTGACCACACGCTTTTTGGGACCAATGCAGCAGCCCTTAATCATCAAATAATCATCCTTAACCACACCATAATGTGGGAATCCTCCAATTGGTGCGATGTCCTTCTGAGTTCTGCAGATCAGAATCACAACCAAGGAATCTAAAGTCATTATTTAATAACATAAGACATCAACATTCTTAATAGGGGTGGGATTTTGACAAAATGGTTATGTCTAAAGCTTCGTTTGGGACGGCTTTCTTCCTGTTTCTTAAAACAGCTTTTTAGTATAAAAAACTATTTTAGTAAGTAGTAAAAAAGCCGCCCCAAATGAAACCTAAGGCTTGGTTTGAGACGGCTTTCTTATTGTTTCTTAAAATAATTTTTTAGTACAAAAGTTAAAAATTTTTTACTAAAATATTGCTTTAAAAAGCATAAATAAAACTGTCCCAAACAAAATCTAAAACACATAAATAAGTATTTTGTTGTTAGGTAAATAAACTTCTGTAAGTAGCTCTGAGTATCAAATAATGAAAAAGGTTAATGAAGGACCTCTAGATTTTGAAAACACTTTTAAGTGATTTATATTCATTTTCTTAAGAAATATCATCAAAATAATGAAGCATGGAAACAAGCTAAATAATGCAGAGCAACAATCTAAGCATAAAATCACAATTGTAAAAGAGTTCTAACCGATCAAACTCAGTCACAGCTGAATGAGAATCATCTCCAGACTTTCCAATCCTGTAAACCTTTTTGTTCAGTTCTGTGCGATGATGGTATCCATTCTGCCCAGCTCTAGCAACCGTAAATGAAACCCTAGCTGGATGCCAAGCACCAATGCAAGCAACCTTTCTTAAACCACGGTGTGTCTTTCGTGGAAGGCGAGTAACACCCCAGCGGGTTACAACACCTTCATAGCCCTTTCCCTTGGTTACCCCAATTATGTCGATCATCTCATCCTTCTGGAAAACAGCATCAACCGGGACTTGTTTTTCAAAAAAACTGTAGGCGTAGTCAATCTTCTGGGATATTGTTCCACCGTTCACTTGGATCTCCATAAGATGAGATTTTTTCTGTTTAAGGCCCTTCATCTTTCGAATCTGACAAGGTTATGATGAATGCAAAGGATGAAATAACTTGAAATCAAACTAATTCAAGAGGAACAAACTTATAGATAGAGAACATTAAAAAAAAGGGAGATTTACATACATACTACATTATACTACTCTATTTATATATTTAACATCTAAAATTTTAATATAACATACATACCACCCATAGTTCATTTTCATATAAATAGGAGTGGTAGAAATGAAATATATGAGTGGTAGGAAAGAAATATAAGTGATATATTTGATATTAAAATAATATAAAGTAGTATGCATGTAATATTAAAGTTTTAAATGTTAGATATATAAATAGGATGCTATAAAGTGAAATGTATGTAAATTTCTCTTAAAAATATCATTCAAACTAGTCATCATTAGCTTTATTCCAATTATTTGAGGTTGCATAATGGAACAAAGCTCCAAAAATGATCTCAATATTACCTGAGTGTGAGCAAGCACCCTTACAACAGATGCATGCTTCTTCATTTTCTCTAACTGTAGCTGGATCTCCTTTTTACCCTCATCAGTCTCGTATTTCTTTGCATACTTGGTAAATGCCTTCTTTTTGCATCTATACCAGTTCTTATAAAATCTTCTCTTAACTTCCTCGCTGAGATGCTGAGCCCAGACAGCGTTCAAAGAACGGAGACCACGAGAAGTCTTCACATACCCGACAACACCGACAACCACCATTGGAGGTGCTTCAATGATGGTTACTGCCTCACAAGTCTCCTTTTTATGGAGTTCTGCAAGGAATTTAAAAAAAACATGAACGACAAACAAATCTGAAAGATGAAAGTTTCATGTTTAAGTACGAATGGAAGCAAAAGAAATAACGTACTGATTTCTGAGCACTTGGTTAGCTATTCATAGATGAATAAAGTCAAAGAGTAAATAAATTATTTAAATTAAATTGCAATTTCATTAAAATTGAAATGATGACATTGAAAATGTAACCACTGGCACTCCACGGCACAAATGAAGCATAAAAATGTAACCGCTGGTAGGCTCGTAAAGTTGAAGAAATTGTTTAGAGAGAAATTCAAATTCTATTCTATTCCTTGAAATCATTACATAATACATATACATATATTCCATTATGCCCTATTAAAAGTTAAATTCTCATTTAAATCTAATAAAGAAATATCATTTCTAATATTTTCTAAACAAGTCTTTTTAGGTCTACCTCTACCTTTCTTAACATAAGTCAAATCTAATATATCTACATTTTATGTGACCAAACCATCTAAGGCGACTCTCTCTAATATTATCTCCCACTAGAGCTACTCCAACCTTTTCACGTATATGCTCATTTCGAATCATGTTTCTAAAAGTGAAGCCACTCATCCACCTAAGCATCCTCATCTCTGCAACACTCAACTTAATATTATACTTCTCTTTTAATGTCCAACATTCTGCACCATAAAGCATTGCAAGTTTAACCACCATCTTATAGAATTTTCCCTTAAGTTTGAGGGAGACTTTTCTATCACGCAAGTCCGATTCATTCCTTCACTTCAATCATCCAACTTGAATTCTACTAATAATATCCGCATCTATTTCACCATCACTCTAAACAATAGGATCCAAGATATCTAAAACGTATACTCTTATTAATGACTTGATCACCCAAAGTCATAATCGCCCCACTAGAACTATCATTACTAAAATTACACTCCAAATATTCAGTTTTAGATCTACTCAAACAAAAGCCTATAGACTCTAAGGTTAAACTCCATAATTCAAGTTTACTTTCAACTTCCTCTCTAGATCAACAAGAAGAATATCATCATCAAAAAGCATACACAAGGGTACAACCTTTTGCAAATGTCTAGTGAGAACATGCATCACTAAAGTAAAAAAGATATGGGCTTAAGGCTGATCCTTGATGTAATCACACTGAAATAGGAAAATACTTGATCAAACTATCTTGAGTATGAACACAAATAACAGCTCCTGCATACATATCCTTAATGACTTGAATATAAGCAGTATTAACCCCTCTCTTTTCTAGAACTCTCCATAACACTTCTCTTGGAACTTTATCATATGCTTTCTCTAAATCAATAAATATCATATATATAATAATCATATTCTACGGATCTCCACTGCATCCCTCAGATTACTACCCACGGATCTCCAACTGCAGCCCTCGAATTTTGTCCACTGATCTCCAACTGCAACCTTCAAATTGTTGCCCACGGATTGCTGATGTGGTCTCCCCATGGCTGCATGATTCAACAGAAGCAACCCCATTTTCTAGCAGAAGGCAAAAAAACCAATGCTTCTGTAGTATCCTAAAAACCACCATCTTTGGCATTGGTAGTAGCAGCCCAATAAAAAATGTGACAGAATCAATAAAAATTAATAGCAAGGAGAAAAATTAAGATCAGGCTCATTTTGTTAAGATCGTAATAACAATTGAATACTTGGTATCATTCAATAATAATTTGTTTGTTGAGCTATAAAATAAATTATCGCATTGCGATGGACAAGCTACCCAACAAAGGGAAAAAATAAAACTGCTACACGAGTTCATTCTCAAAGCCATAAAATGGTTGTAGCGCTGCATGCAGGAGTTGTAATTTCCCTTGCTCATTTGTAGAAAAATAAAAAACTATGATCGTAGCATGTTTTTAAAAGAAAGCTGTTGCCACAGAAAGCCTAGAAAATAAAGGCTAGATTTAGTTCAAGGCCAAAACTTCAAAGCATCTCAAAATATGCCAAAACATTAAGGACAACTGAAACAAAAAAAAAGCATTTTTTGTTTATTTTTTCAGATGTGGACAAAATAAATTGATTCACATTCGAAGTAAGAAATAAAACATGTTCTTTATTTAATATACAAAGAATTAAAGCCTGACTTCTCAACTTCTCTAACAAACGAGGTTATCGAACAAAATAAACCACACATTCTACATGGTAAGAAATAAACCTTTTTCATCCATATATGAAGAATGAACTTACTTGATCCAGGCTTTTCAACTTCTCTGACAATATGAGTCATGCCAGCCTTGTATCCCAAAAATGCAGTCAGTCTGGGTGGTTTGCTTGGATCATCTCTGGGGAAGGATTTCACTGCACCAGGAAAAAAGAGTGGAATGCAAAATAAAACAAAAAGTGCTTCGAAATAAACAAGAATTGATTTAATCGATCAGTTAATGCATACTTTTTCCGTAATTACATAGGTAAGAGGAACATCTTAATTACAAATAAAAACACTTCCACCTCAACTAAATTGATTTAAGCAATCAATTAATGCAGACTTTTTACATATTGAACAGATAAGGGGAGCTAAAATGAGCCTGGATGAAATAAGAAGTGTGTGGTGGGCTGTTGCTTCAAAAAATATTAAAAATTGATAAAAAAAAGTTGTTTTGTGTAACGGAAGATGGAGTGTCTGGTTAGAGGAAGGTGGTGGTGCATTCACCATCATCTAGTAATTAAGGACTTGAAAAAAAAAAAGAAGGAATTAAGGATAAGAGATGATAATACACACTTTCCCCTGAACTAACCATGTCACAAAAAAACATGTTTTAACTAACAGAAAACTGTAACTCGATTTAAATTCAACAAATACACACGACACTGGCAATTACACGAAATTTAAATGAGTTAGCAACAACAATAAAAGGCTAAAACCACCCAACACCCCCACTGTTCAACAGAAACACTAATGTTTTAATAATAATGATGACGAAGATGATTAAGCAGAACAAAAGCTACTTGCATGCACTCTGTAGTAGAAAGTGTGCAACGGCTAGTACGTAATCAGCAACTAGAGGCAAGAAATTTTGAGAGGGTTAACGTTTATCATACAGAAGGGTAGCCCTTACCATACAAATATTATTGAGGTTCAGATATCACAGTTGTTTCACAAGATTCCGGCATAAACATCAAATCTTGGCCCAGAAATTACAAAAACCATGATTTGTGGCGCTTGGCAAATCCGTTTAAACCTCTTTTAAAGATCAAGGGTTAAATGAAAAAAAAAAAATAAAACTAAATACAATCGAACTTATTTATTTACCTTCATTAACAACTTGCTTGTTGTTCAACAAGTAATCTATTAAAGACTGGTGCTTGACTCAATAGCGGCTCGTGTATGTTCAATTAATTTTTTTAAATGCAACTTGTTTAATTACTTGCATAATATTATTATAATATATATTTCTTTACTGGGTTAAGTTACTTTATACCTCTTTTATTTTCTTTTTTCGCCTATAATTATGAACTTCTGACATTTCAATCTCTATATTCCGATGGCATGAGGTCATGAGAATTGCATCTAAATGAACTTGTCATTAAGATTAAGCTAGAATTTTAATCCTTCGGAGTTGAACTTGCCATTTTCTTCTCTGTCCACCTACAACTGACGTTTTGATGAGCACGGTCTATAAGCATTTCATCTCAGCCATCAAAGCTTCTTCTCTAACATTCCTACATATTCCTACATAAGAATCAAAGTGCACCTTTATGAGAATAAGAGCGAAGTGTATCTTCTCTTAGATCGCAATGCATCTTCTCCAATATGCAATCAGCCCATAACAATCCATAATCTTGTGTCTTCTTTTTAAACCTACTATTTCAATGTCGCTTTCCTTCTTGGGGCCTTAATACCTTCTGTCATCCATAATTCTTTCCAATAAAACTATTATCTCATTCAATTGGTGCTCGTTTGATGCGCAGTAAAAAATTAGATGCTAATTTTAAATTTATTGAATTACTTATTCATTTGAAACTATAAATTATTTATTAATATGATAACCACATGGTAATTACTTTAATACAAACTTTTTTTAGCTCATTTATCAAGTATCAACTAATTTAAATACACACCCAATTAATTTCAATGAGCCAAGTACGAGCCAAGATTGTTCTTAAACAAACCAAGTATAAACTTATATGTGATAGCTTGGCTCAAGTTCTTGCCGAATTTGAACAGCTTGTAGCATGACCAAGCCAAATCCAATCCATAACATGCTAGGCTCGGCTCAGCTTGATTATAGCCCTAAAAATGAGCTTCAATAATCGTGTGTTCGCACCGATCAAATCTTTTAAAACCTCTGATTAAAAGGAATGTCAAACATAATTGATTATGGTAACCCTTAACTGATTTTTTTTAGTTCTGGGTTGGAGCAGGATATCCCCAAGTTCATAATCTAGCAAGACATGATCCCAGGTACCCATGATTCAAATCTTCACTAGTTCCAACAAAAGAAAAAAAAAATTACAAAATAAAACATGGGACCATTTAGTGGGTGAGAACGGCCTAACAACATTTAAGATCCAATGAGAAATGGAGAGAGAGAGAGAGAGAGAGAGAGATTTGAAGGCTGCTTTGAAAGGAAAAGAAAGAGATGAGGAAATTGTTATTATATTAAGAACTTCAAGGGAGAATTAGAGACAATCTAGAATCTAGATTGAGGTAAAGTAAGTGCAAAGTAAAAGCTTGGCACACAGTTTTACTTTTTTAGTGTTTGATGTATAGTTTGATTTAAGAATGAGCTTCAACATTCACGAATACGCACCCGTTAAATCTTTCAAAAGCTCTAATTAGAAAGAATGCAAAACATAATCAATAATGATGGTATTTTACAGTTTTCTTTTTTCCCCCTCTGGGTTGGGGCAGGATTTCCACAAGTCATAATCAAACAAGACATGATCCCTGGGTTCCCATGATTTAAATCTCCATTAAAAAAATAAGAAAATATACAAAATCAAATATGGGACCATTTGGTGGGTCAGAGAGGGCTTACACCCGTTGAGAGAGTGAAAAAAAAAGAAGAAGAGGATTTCCAGGCTACTTTGAAAAGTAAAGAAAGAGATTAGAAAATTGTCTTTAAAGGGATGTTCAGGGATAATATGGATTGAGGTGAAACAAGCAAGGTTCAGGGATAATATGGATTGAGGTAAAATAAGTGAAAAGTAAAAGCTAGATACTCATGTTTACTTTTTTAGTGTTTAATGTATAATTTAGTTTAAGAACAAATAAATTTACAACAATGTGGTGATAAAAGAATCAAACTTCTGAGTCATTAATAGAGTTAAAAGATATTAAGAGTCAATTTTTTATTTAAATCAAATAAAAAAAATATCATATATATATATATCATTTATAATATTTTCTAACCAAGTTTCTTTAAATTTATCTCTACCTCTCTTAACATAGGTCAAATCTAATACATCTATGATGCAAAACATAAATGCAAAAATATGATTTGATTTAGAATTTTGCACACTTATACTTTATCAACTAATCTAACGTTGCATACATGGAAGGTTTTCAACAAAATCCCTATGATAACAGTAAGATTAGTCACCATGCAAGGATCCCTCACTCAACTCCCTAAGTTATTATGCTTTAGCGGAGGGATCAACAAGAATCTTTGCGAATAACACTATAAACCACAATTAAAAGTGAATTAGGAAGATATAAGAGTATGAGGAAAAGTTTATCCAAGGGAAACACAAATACGGAGCTTCGGTGTAATTGCTTGGATGTTTGGAAATGAATGGACAACACGCTCCTCCTAGGGCTGCAAGTGAACTAAGCGTTTGACGAGATACTCGTTGCTCGGTTCGATTAAAGCTCACTTGTGATCGTTTAATTAACTAAACAAACAAACTTGGACAATATTTTAAATACTCGATCCTTAAATAAACAAGCTTGAACACTAATGTGTTCGGCTCATTTATGTTCGTGAACAATAACATTTAAAGCTCGTGAACAAGCTTGACATTAGGCTCGATAAAAGCTCGATTCATGTACAAGAGACATTTCACATTTGTCCATGTTTGCTTGATTGTTTGTTTAAAATATTCATGAACAAATACAAGATGAATCATAGATCACTTGTTCGTGAACGAGCTCATCTCGTAGCTCAAAAAAACTAGTTATATATGTTCATGAACTTGCTCATTTGTAGCTCAAGAATACTCATTATATATGTTCATGAACGTCCTTGTTTAATATTAAAAAAAAATCACTAAATATATTCATGAACATGATCGATGTAATTATTTGTTAGGAGGCTTGATAAAACTTGTTTGTTAAGTTAATGAACATCTAGAAGTAGAGTTCGTTTATAGTTCGTTAAGACTTGTTTGTTTAAAGCTCGATAAGCACTAAAAGAACTAAACATGAACCGAACATGAACCAAACATGAACACTCATTAATTTAAACAAACCAAACATGAACACAAACAATAAAGCTCGAATCAAACATGAACCAAACTTGAACAAGCTGATAATAAATGAACACAAATATGAACACTCACATAATCGGTTCGGCTCGGTTCGTTTGCAGCCCTAGCTCCTCCTAGCTGTCTTGGGACAGCATTTTGGCAATCTGCAGGTCTTGGATAGCAGTTTTGATACCTGGAAGAGTCTGAGCAGCAACCTATAATGCCTAGGAAAACCCTTGCCGTTCTTAAAGGGTTGCTGGTTGGTAAACCGAAGCGAAGTTGGTGGCAAAATTTGCTGTTCGGAATTTTCTGGGCCGTATTTCTTAATGCAAAATTTCTGGACAGCTGTTGGGAACAGGTTTCTGACGGCTAGGGTTTGCTTGGAGGGGCAATTAAGTTAGCTAGGGGATAGGGAAAGGTGACGGCTGGATTTGAGAAAGATTAAGGGAATTAATTAGATAGGGGAGATAGGGTGGGCCGGCCATGCATTGGGAGTTAATTAGGGAATTTATGATTCCTTCCAAACTTAGGTTGCTAATTGTGGAAAGAGAATTAGAGAGAAATCTCTAATCAATTTCAGATTTGAGAGGATTTGAGAGTTTCCAAAAATAAATCAATCTCATTAGGAATGAATTTCAAATTCAATTTAATTAGAATTTGAAATTTGAATTCTTTTCAAAGTTAAGATGATCTAAATTAGGAAAGTATTTAATTCTTTCATACATGAGAGGTTTTTATCTTTGAAAGCATTAAGAAGGTGGGAACGAGGGGTCAGAGCCCTCTTATAGTTGAGACATTCCCCTATTTTGGTAGGTGGCATCCCCTACCCAAATTCAGGGCCTCTCTCCTTATGTAGAAGTTAGAATTTTTTGCAACCGTTCATTTTCTTCTCATCTAATCTTCTTCTTATATTGGAGGCATTACAATATCGTAGATAGGCGGCATTACCCTATCAAGCTTCAGTGCCCCTCTCCTTGTGTAGAAGGAGATTGTTTCCTCCTTATTCTTCTATTGCGAACTTCTTCTTACATTGAAGGCATTCCACTGTCAGAGATAGGCGGCATTCCCCTATTAAGCTTCAGTACCCCTCTTGTGTAGAAGGAGATTTTTTCCTTCTTATTCTTCTCTTGTAAACTTCTTCTTATATTGGAGGCATTCCACAATCATAGATAGGCGGCATTCCCCTATCAAGCTTCAGTGTCCCTCTATTGTGTAGAAGAAGTCGCGATGAGAGGTTATCTTTTTAATAGACAACTCTTGACAGAAGAAGATCAATTGCTGCTTGTATGCGATGCTGATTTAAGAAGATCTGGCGGTAATAGTGTCCGGGAGGAGAACCAGAAGTGATGAGTAGATGGGGAGAATTTCAACGCCATTTGAGTGGAAGTCTGTTGGCGATGATCGATCGAGTTGAAGCTCATCGGCAATCAACGGTCGAGTGCTAAATGAGAGAGTTCGAGGGTGCGCTGCTAGTAACAGTCGAGCGATAATCCAATGATGGCTTAAGTAAAGGACCGCCGGCAAATATCAGATGAAGGGCCGATGATCGCAGATGTCCAGTTGCATTTTGCTAAGGCAATATGCATTCATACGGAAGTGTGTCGATATTAGATATCCCTGATTCAATGAGCCAAAACAATGTGATATGTGAGTTGTCTGGCGACACATGTATAGTGTTAACTGAGTTGAGGCCTAATAAAAATCAAATTGTAATCTTTCTTTGAAGAAGAAGTTGCTAAGGCCAAAATGCATTGATGCGTAATAGAGAAGAGGTCACTTGAACCCACCAAGGATAATTGATCGTTTTGAAGTTGTTTGTTATTTGATGACTTGTAAATATGATATGGATGTACTTTTAATTTCAGCTTCTAGTGAGAATAAATTTACACTTGAACTTGATGTACAATTTTGCAATGTAACTCCAATGATATTGTATATGAAGTTGAGATTATTGTATGAGCTTGATACTTGTTTTTCATTTGAAATGAACTTGTCCTCCAAAGAAAACTAAGTTGTTTTATGCCTCTTTGGGCTTCCGTGCTCTTTGAGGTTTTTTAGCCTATTAAGATTTTTGTATGCCTGTACTTTTTGAGGTTTTTAAGCCTTCCAAGATTTTGTATTCATGTGTGGAAGAAGCCGAGAGAATCCACCAAGGATGTATAACCTTTCCAAGGTTGTATGTCAGAATATTGCTCGAGGACGTTAACATATACGGAAGAGATTAAGAGAATCCGCCAAGGATGTATGACCTATCCAAGATTGTACGTCAGAGCACTGCTCAATGACATTAACCTATATGGAATAAGTCGAGATAATCCACCAACAATGTAAAACCTATCCAATGTTGTATGTCAGAGCCCTGCTCGATGACGTTAACCTGTGTGGAAGAGGTCGAGAGAATCCACTAAGGATGTAAGACCTATATGAGGTTGTATGCAGAGCTTTTGCTCGATGACGTTAACCTGTATGGAAGAGGTCGAGAAAATCCACCAATGATGTAAGACCTATCCGAGGTTGTATGTCAGAGCTCTGCTCGATGACGTTAACATGTATGAAAGAGGTTGAGAGAATCCACCAAAGATGTAAGACCTATCCAAGGTTGTCTGTCAGAGCCTTTGCTCGATGACGTTAACCTGTATGGAAGAGGTCGAGAGAATCTACCAAGGATGTAAAACATATCTGAGGTTGTACGTCAGAGCCTTTGCTCGATGACGTTAACCTATATGGAAGAGGTCGAGAGAATCCACAAATGATGTAAGGCCTATCCGAAGTTGTATGTTAGAGCATTTGCTCGATGATGTTAATCTGTGTGGAAGAGGTCAAATCAGATCCCTCTCGGATCGATTTTTCCCTGATTGGGAGGGGGCGAACGCCGCGTGTATTCTGAATCAAAGGTGAAGAATGATTTATTTTTAGACTGTTACTGCCTTTTTGAGGTCGATATTAAAACCTTGCCCAAGGAGTAGAAGTCCCGTAAGGGACTGTATAAAGTTTATAATTGATTGGAAACATCCTTGCATTTGCTGTGATTTTTATAAAGTATCATCTTGATGATGAAAGCATTGGAGAATCTTTTTGACCACAGTAAGAGTCAAAGTTACCCCCACTCTGCATCTGATTCTTATGATATTAATGCATGTCATGAAGTTGATAAGAGCGATCTTTTGAGATTGGAGCAATAATTGCCCCCTAGTCGAGAATCATTTTCCCACAGACGACGCCAAACTGTTGCGTCTAGGAGTATTCGCGGCGGTTGAGAAATATAAAATTTAATGTACCTTTATATGAAAATCTGGCACGCAATCAGGTCCTTCTTTGGGGAAGGTCTTAGCTTGATGTACATCTTTCAAAGAATCACTGCTGATGTGTTTGTTTGGTCTGAAGAACTATAGTCGGCGGGCGAAGTAAGTCGAAAGGACCGTAGTCGACGGGCGACGAAGGTCGGAAAGACTGTAGTCGGTGGGCGACGTAAGTCAGAAGGACCGTAGTTGGCGGGCGACGGAGATCGAAAGGATTGTAGTCTGTGGGCGACGTAAGTCAGAAGGACCGTAATAGGCGGGCGACGGAGGTCATAAAAACTGTTGTCTGGCGACGAGCAGAGGTCCACCGTCGTGTAGAACTCCGGCATGACTTGGAGTTCGGGTAAAACTCCGGCGTCACTTGGAGTTCGGGTGAAACTCCAACATCACTTGGAGGACGGGCGAAATTCCGACGTCACTTGGAGTTCGGGTGAAACTCCCGCATCACTTGGAGGTCGGGCGGAATTTTGGTGTCACTTAAAAGTCGGGCGGAACTCCGGCGGTGGTCGAAGAGGAGTTTCTTCCCTCCTATTCTTCTATTCTCCTCCTCTTACTTCTTGCTCCCCCCCCCCCCTCAAGAGAGATGAGGGGTCTTTTTATAGATTTCTGGAGTGGCATGGCTCGTAAATAGGAGGAACAAGGGCAAATGTGGAGTGGTTCGGATAGACGGCCGATATTGAATCCCTTGATCATGGACCGTTCTTCAGACATTTGAAGGTCTTAGTGGTGTCGGAATTCGGTGATCTTGGGCCCGTTGGATTTGTCTCCTCGAGCCACTCAATTCGACTATAAGCACATAATGTTTGGAAACTGTTTGGTAATCCAAATTGTGGATTGAACCTTCCAACAACGCTTCGGGTCTTCGATTCAGACCCATTTGGGCTCAGATTGAGTTGAATTTGGTGTTGTTGGGTTCGTATTTCTGAGACGATCAGTTCGACTGTAAGTTCGCTAAAATCGGAGTTCAGATGATCCCAGATTTAATTTTTTAAGTTTTCAACTTGATTTTTGGATTAGACCCCATTAATTTAGGAAGATAACCCTTCAATTTGAAATTCAAATTTTGAATTTTAAATTCTTTCCTAAATTAGCAAAGTCATATTTGGAAAGTTTTAAATCTCTTCCAATTTATTTTAAATTGGATTTGATTTAAGCTTCATATTCCTTAATTAAATAACTCAATTTTGAAGCTTTAAAACCCCATCAATCCTTCCCCTCCCTCTATACCACCAGCCCATTAATGGGCTTCTCCCCTAATTTTTCCTATTGAAGCCTAAACCCGGTTTGAATTTTAATTTCAAAATGTTTCCCTCCAATATCACTTAACCTGAAATTAAATTCATATTATCTAAATTCCAACCTCTCCCTAATCCAAACCCTAGCCACCCCACTAATCACCAAACCGCCACACCCTTTCCTCTCTCTACCCAAGCTACCGGCTTCCTCCTCCAACCGCCACCTTCTCTTCCCCTTTTTTCCTACTTACATTCTCTCATCTCTCACGGAAAGCATGTATGGTTGATCCTGAGGTCGACCACGGATTTGTTTTCGACGAGCAAGGACGGACGGATATTCTTGAATCTCCGTTCTTTGACATGTACTTTGGCAACGACGAGACTGTCGACAGATATATCGACCGCATCTTATACTAACTAACACTATCGATCGAGGAGCACATTCAACCGGGTCATTGGATAATCATCGGTTAACCACCACCTCCTCCACCGCTGGCTACTTCTCCATCAAAAAAAGTCTTCGGCCTCCTCCTACTGGTAATCTCCTTCCTCGTATGGTTCGCCTTCCTCCGCTAAAACCTAAGAGTGATGAGTGAGAAATGACTCAAGGTGAACCTCTCGTTATTAAGTGATGGATTATGTTATGTATATGTGACATTTACTATTGTCTTTGAATTTTGATTGGATTGTTTGGTTAATGTAAAGAGTGCTTCTTTGCCTAAGCAAGTTAAAAAATTTTAATTCCTAATTCTTCTTTATTTGCAAACAATAATTTTATATTAGCAAGTTTTAATCAATTGTTTCTTTTTTAATTTCTCAAGTAACTCCTAATTATTTCACACCACAATCCAATTCAAATTGATTTGGATTTGATTGGAGAATTTTCCTAAAATGGAACTCTATTTTATGAAATAATTCGAATTTCAAATTTTGATTGGTTGATTGGATTGAAAGCTTTCCCAAAGTGATTTGTAGGAAAAAGGAAAGAAGTAATGGGGAGATTTGAATTTTGAAGGCAATGAGGGAGATGTGGTGGTCGGCGGCTAGGGCTAGGATTAGGATTAGGTTTTGTGGGTTTTGAAGACGTGGTGGTGAGAATTAAGTGGATCAACCCATCAAGGGGTGAGCCACTTAGGATGGCCGGCAACTG